CGATTCTTCTGAAAGGTAGGAAAACCAATCAAAACTGCGATTTAGTCGGACATGTGAAGCTGAAATTTTTATCATAAGCGTTTCTCACTAAGACCAATCATCTCTGAAAATTTCAGCCCAAACGAAGGGTACCAAGTGGGACTTCATTTCTAAGGGGGGGGGGGCCTTAAATGAAATAAACAATGCAAGACATTCGATAAATACAGCATTCAGATTCGGCAGGATATCTCGATCCCTTAGAGCAGATTAGAGCACGATACAAAAAATATAGCTTGCCAGCGTCTCTGATGTCTACATGAAGCGTTCAAAAATACGAAATTTCCTTTCTATTTAATTTCACTCCAGTTTCTTTGAATTCTACAAAGAATGATCGCCATTTGAGATTTGAAATAGTGGTGTTCAGTAAGATATTCAAATAGAAAAAATCTTTGCATCCTCGACACAAAAAAGCAAAGAAATTGCGATCTTAAAGTATTCTTGGATTAATAATTTGTATGCTGATTACATCAATGCATTATTCAAATCTCATAATAGATATAAACTAATCCAAATGGAATGTTTCAACAGCAGTCTTTGCAGCAGCATCCAGGCAAAAATATTTTTAGTTCTATTTTTTGCTAATATATTATGCTAAATTGGTTATATCTTCAAATGAAACTAGAACTCTAAAAATTGCAAATATGATAAGGTATTACGTGTTTGGTAAAACAATTATGAATAATTTACACACTAAAATAAAATGTGTCGCAGCGAGCATCTTGAGTTGTACTTGAATGTGTCGTACATTGTGTCGCAAAATACGACGCATGTGACACATTTTATTTTAGTGTGATAGACAAAATTAAAGAAATTTGTACCTCATAGATTTCAAATATATGTCTGTTCTAGGCAAAAAATTGAACTTTTCGTAAAAATTTGTTTTTAATTAGGCGCATAGGTACGAAATAAATTTCTTGTATTTAAAGAAAAATTCCAATTTCTGTTCCAGTTAAGGGAACCTAGCACATAGCTGTTTGTTTTTGTTAGACAGCATTCATAGTCACGTATTCATATTCATACATTACTCGACGGCAATATTTAGTGATTTGTATTTGCGAAGCAAAATGATTGCAAGAGGTGCTGAGAGACACATATAAAAGTATGAATGAGAAAAAAGACTGTAGAACGAACAAAACACGTGACTACAGTGCAACATTTAAGGACATGCTTATGTTTGCTTCTTTCTGTTTTGCTATTGCATCGTTATGAAGCAAGATCCATATTGTAATTGCACAAGCTATATGAAAAAGTCTTTCTTAATATGCGTTTCACTCTTAATAGTTATATTTCATGGCGACAGTATCGGTATCAAACTGTTCTGAGGCCAAATCTGACCGATTAATTCCCATATCCCAACTCCATCTAAATGATTTCATCAACAATTGGATTTCTATTGATATGGTTAATACGGAGAAATTGTCTCTTCTTCGTTCACGGCGTCGAATCCATCCAATCGAGCAGTTTCCGTGTCTAGTATATTTAGTCGAATGCCATCCCTACGAGCGCATTCTAGTTTGGTTAAAGGAGAGAGAGGTACAAGTAGAGAAATGTTCTGACTACATGTACGATCGATTTCGACGCGATCGTATGCAACCATGCTGGGTATGCAAGTGGCTCGAATGGGATGAAGACTGGCTGATTCGCGAGGAGGATGTCGACACAACGCAAATTGTAAAACCAGATTTCTATCGATTGATCGGCGATCGATATGTAGAGTATGGTGATGGTGGTGAATCATTTCTTGTTTATCCTGTATGGATTCAAGAGTACCTGTCAATAAATGAAAAAAATCGAGAACGTCTTCTGGAGACCCTCCTAACACTTAATGAAGAACGGCACGATCATCATGCAGCTCCATCACCAGTTGAAGATATTATCGATCCAGATCTACTTGCTTTTCGTCCTCCATCATTCGATCGAACGCAATGGATCGAACGTCGGCGACGACAATTAGAACCATTAGAAAGAGCATCGAGATATTTCCAGCGTGATTTAGCCGATGGAGAATATGATCAGTTATCGGAGCATGAACAACTACGAGATACCTATCAATGGTTACCATCAGAATTCATTATTCAAACAGATGGTAAAGTAGACATTCGAAAACCGATTCTTCATTTACCAGTAATACCCAAATATCGTCGAACGTACGGTGCAATCGCACAGATTTTTCATGCAATGTTGCCAATGTTTCAACAAATAAAAGTGGTCTCAAAGGATACCACCAGAGAGCAACGCTTGCAAGTGATTGTCAAAGCACAAAGTTATAATATGAAAGCCGGTAAGACAGGTTTTGTGGAACTCAAATATATTTTAAAATAAAATAGTGAGTGTAAGTTTTAAGTCGAAGTTTTACGGGACTCCCTTCACCCTCCTCTCCATTACAGGTACTTAGCAACGAACTCTTCATTGCAGGCTTTAGAAATTGAGAATAAAAGGCGGCAGACTTTGTAGACTTTTTTTTTGAAAAATTGATCAAATTATAATTTTGAAAGATAATTGGTATCGTTGTTGCTGAGCTAATTAATATATATAATAGTGCGTAACATCTGCTATAGATATCATGGATATGTAAAACAGACTTATGTGCCAATTAATTCAATGGTTATAATAATAATAATGTTAAATTAAGGAAAAGGAATTATAAAAATATTAAAAAATAATGAGCGAATAGCAATAACGCAAATAAAAAATAGGACGGTCGTAGAAAAATTAAAAAATTCTATTCGAAATGTAGAAATTAAAATATTCTGTTCGAAATGCAGAAATTAGAAAGATTCTTACTTTGATGTTTGATTATTCTGAAAAATAACTATAGTCTACAAAAGATCTTTCACTTTATATATTTTGTATTAGCTTAATGAGGCTAGAGAACATATGTGAATTCTACATTTCAGTCCCAAGGGGTGTGGGTGTCGGTAGGTGGTGACGTAGGTCTTATCTTCACACACACCTATGCGGCACTTACCCGCATCCACACCCACACCCCACACTCACACTAAACATTGAGGAGAAGGAACACTTTCTAACAAGGGACCATTTCTCAAGGACATTTTCACGAAGGACATTTACGCTGAAGGACATTTTTGAAAGAAAACTTTAGACTGCATTTCCTCTGACACTTTTATGAGGTTCTTCGAGGTACTTCGAGTTCTTCTTTGACCGAGAAATTTTAATGAAAGAGTCCATTGTTATTTTCAAAATCCAATGATCTTGTTGAACTAGAGCATAAGATTATTGTTCCTAAGTGATATATGTTTGTTGCTGTTTTCTAACAGGTATGAAATATTCGGGTCGCTGGCATACGGAAGGTCAAACAGAAAACATTGTAGCAGTGGGTGTATACTATTTACATGTCGATCCTGAACTTGAAGGAGGTACCCTTAAATTTCGTCCGAAAAAAGCACCTCAAGATTGGTATGATGGGATCAAAACTGATTTTGAAGTAACTTCGATTTGCACTGGTACAGCAATAGTTTTTTCGAATTCGATGCCACATCGTTTTCGACAAATCCGTAATTTGACTCCAGATGATGGTCGCCGTCGAACGTTTCTCAATTTTTTTATCGTCGACCCCGATCGACCAATTTATCTTCAGTTGAGTGAAATCGTTCTGACACCAATGGATACGATCATGAGTATATTACGACAATGGAATCAAGGGCAAATGCCAGATTTAGTCTTGGATAAAATTCTGCGAATCATACAAGTGTCATCACCGTGGCAAGCACAAGACGAAGCCAAATTATTTCGGGCATGTGTACGAAAAGCAATGCTGGAGGAAAAAAGCGGGTGGGGATGGATCTGTTGGGGTAATTGTGGGACAACGGAGTTTGTTCGAGCACTGTGTGCTTGGAGCGCACGAGAGAGACAGGAAGTAAGAGGAGAACTACGTCATACTGACTCGGATTCATGAATATGCAAATGAAACATATTGTTTTTCAAATAAAGTAGGCAGCCAAACAAGATCGTGCAAATGCATTCTGACAACAATAAGTAGATGCGATGTCTGAAAGGAAGTATGAAGACCATGAGTCCTTTCTTGAAAGTGCTCGAAGAAGATATTTCCAATATTTTAGAACTTTATCTATTCAATGGTCCAGAAATATCTTTTTTAGTTATTCTCAAAAAGACCTATCCATTTTTCGAAGGCAGGCCATGGGTGCATCTGTGTAGTTATGAATCATAGTTGGGCGTTAGTGCGAGACTGAAAAGTGACACTGGGTTTTTCCGATGATTCTGTGAAACTCACAAATTCGTCTTAAGAAAAAGTATTCTAGTGAACATTGCCAGTGTGTATTGGAGAAGTTTAGATGTGGATGCGAATCGCTGAGTGGGTTTCGGTATTGGCGTTTGTATGGGTACTATTGCAGATATGAATGAGTGGTTGTGAGCGTAGATAGGTGATAATGTGGGTTTGACGGAGTTTGAAGTTGATGCATGAATATGGTTTAGAAAATGTCATCCTCATCTTCATTCATTGCCTTTTAGCATTAAATTTTCATTGATAAAAGTTCAGAGTAAGCGCAAATTTATGCACAGTCCGCTAACTGATGTTTCTCATATTCATTATATGCCGTTCATTAGTTTAGTCGAGAGATAACTCGATGAAACGATCGTATAATACTAGTAATAGATTAGAGAATGAGTGTGCGTAAAAGCGCTGGGGTATATAACAGTGATACTAAAGCTCGTTATCCTCAGGAGTTCGGAAGAGGCTCAAAAGGACTACTTGATAAAATAGCTCGTGATTCTAATAAAGGCGTTAAGGACCGTAAACAAAAACTGGGGTGTGGTTGTGAGTGAAGTCAAATGAGTAGCCAACTGCTCTCACCCTCACGCCCTCACACTCCTAGAACCTTGACTACGTTCATACCCATACTTCAGCCTAAGCTCAGATCAGCACATTCACACCCACACTAACACACCGACACATTTGCACCCATACTCTCAATATCCCCCTCCCCCGCTCTTCCTCAAGCAATCAACGATTACGAAAAAATGTCGGCCGTAAGAGAGAAAAATAGTGGTTAGAAGGTATCCTTGCATGGTGTAGCGCTTTTTTGTAAATACTTTTTGATTTTTGTACTCAATTAATTCTCATTTGAGCAGCTTGATGATATGTTTACTATCGTTTCTATTTCTGATTATTAAAGTTGTCCATGAATCACAAAAAGCACAGGTTTATTTCAGTACTCTTTGTGTATTTCCTAAGATAGAAAATGAAGTCAAACATATACCGTATAAGTGTTAGATACTAATTAACTAATTTGGAATAAAATCTGCGTCAGAGTTGTTAATCTAAGTAGCACATCGGCTGTTTGCATTAACAAGTTGATTGTATTTGGTTCGTCGGTTTCTTATCAAAACATGGTATCTACTGATTCATTTTTTCAACATCCTGTCAATATAAGCAGCGGTGCTTGGACTAATGACGGCTCTTCTAATAATGTGGCAATTTTGCACGATACAAAGGAAAAGTTCACTTTCGAATTATTGTTTATATTAGAAACAAATAATTCTGGTCAAGTAAATCGACTCTTATTCAGACTTTTTTGCTATTGAAATAGGTTTTATCGACATAAATCTTGAGATATTATCCCATAGTCTTTAGAAACCTGCTGAGTCAAACATTTTCAAATTCAACTCGGAATATGACTCTACAAAGCTCCAAACATTTTTCTTCCCGTCAATTATCGACAGCTTACATATGCAGAGATATTATGTAACTTAAGTTTAGTCTGCTATATCCAATCATATTTGAGTAAGAGTCATTCATGGATTATGTTACCAATGGTTAAACTATTGTTTTTACCTCTACACTTAACTAAGCAACATTCGTGGATTACCTTTTTAGCCGTAGTAGAATGATTGAAGCACTGATTTGCAGATCCACTTGGCAGAAACTCAGTCATGCAATGCCTGAATGATTTGTCTGAGAATATTGTAAGCGAATGAATAGACATGTTAGATGTTGTAGGAAAAAATTTAAATGGATTAAATTTTCGAATGTCATTGTGTATCCATGACACTTATAATGATTGCCAAGATCTTGTCACACGAAGAGAGTTCAAGTATCTCATTATATTAGTACAATGAAAAGACCCGATAAAATACAACTGAAGTTTGGGATGGTTTTCATCAAGTTACGCTACATGAGAAAAATAACTTAAAAGAGGTTTTTTGAGTTCGGTGCACGTCACTAATAGTCTCACGTCATCTCTTTGAATGGATCGATGGAAGCGGTTTTACTAACGAGTGAAAGGGTATCATGAAATTAGAATTTTAGATTTGAAATTCGTCAAGAACTTTCTCAGATGGTGTTGATATTCTCGAAAGCGAATCATATTTTATAATAATCTAACTTTCATGAAGATCAGAAGTTTGTAAAACTAAAAAACAGGTTAAAATCATGACTAGGGAAATGGTCGAAACACATATGAAGAATTTGTCATTTAAGAGAATAATTTAGCATTGTAAAAACTTATCTATTAATTTACTTTGAAGATTTCGAATCTTCTTCGCAAATAATAAAGGGATATTGAGAACAAAAGTTCCAAGAAACTAAACAAATGAATTCTCATAGACAATACCCTCAATTATGAATCGTTTTAGAGCTTCAGCGATACCCTCTAACACAATTGCTGTTCATCATGACTTTTATCGACACACATTATTATCGTGGAATCGCCTTTGACAGCTAGCTTCAGCTTCGAAATGACATACAAACGCTATTGGTAGTTCTGAATCGAACGTAAGTAGACAGAATACCAGTGAGGTTGAATCTCGTGATGTTTTATGCTCAGGTTGAGAAGCAAGAAATATTGCGATCGTCTAAAAATCGCTACGTGAAATGGCGTCTTGACTTTGAAGCTCGGTTTTGACTTCTCTATTCACTAACATGAAGCAAACGAAACGAATTATTGAGTATGGAGCCAGAGCTGGTATAATGTGCAGTGTTGCACTAACCGATCTTATCCTTGGATGCCTGGTTCTTGTTTTTGGTCTACGACAAAGTAAGATGCGATCAGTCGCTCACCAAATAAAATGAAAATTATGTCTTGAAGAATGTTATCTTCGACTATACTTTCAAAATTTAGTCACGTCTATTGAATATGAAAATTCAGTATAGTCACAAGTTTTAAAATTGTACTACCTGAAAGTAGAGTAGAGTTTGGATTTCGCTTTGTCTACCTCAATATGATCCCTTCATTTTGTTTTCTTCTATCTTACTATGCCAGAATTTGCAAAATATTAAAGAAACTATCGATGGATTGATGAAGAACTATTTGTTTTTTACAGGTGCCCACTGGCATAATTCTTCTGTATAGTGATAGTGCATCTACACGCATTGAATCGTATAACCAATGGTTGTTTTGTAATGCTTCCGAAGTATCTCGATTAATCTATTGCGATTTGTCTTTTGTCATTGGTACTATATTTGAAGCAGTCAATGGCATAGATACTTTGAATTTGCCTGATTTTCGTTCTCGATTTTCATGGGACAGCTCCGCTTATAGTAAAACATCAGTCACTTATGGCGGCACTGCATCACACACTTTAACCATAGCGAAGTTGTCCACACATGATCATAATCAAGGCACATTACAAATGCTTACTGACGGTATACACAATCATTCCATTACTGATCCAGGACATGATCACGGAGGATCGACTGTACCCGTCTCTATGAGTAGTGGTGGTCTCAACTCGAACACTGGCTTTGGAAGGTTTATCACTAACACTGGCAGTCACGCGCATTCGATCTCTTCTGACATAACAGGTATTTTAATACAGTCCGATAGTGACCATACTCATACGATCAATGGCTCAACATGTTTACAGGGGCTCAGCCAACCAATCGATAAGATGCAATCCTGCCAAACAGTTCACTACATCATCCGAGCTTGAAAATGAATGTATTCTAATTTTATTTCTCTTGCCAAAAACTATTAATATTACTTTTCTTTTTTTTGACTAATGTCATCTGAACACTTCTAAATTCTGCTAACATAATCAATGAATCCGTTATCAAGTCACCTATTGAAAAGGCTAGTTCTTGAGATGAGGAGCTATTCCAACTTTGTTCAAATCTGACTATTCACTATATAGTTTCATGGGAAATCAATAATATAATTCAATTCTTCTTAATGTTGCTACATGAATAGTACTGAAAATAATTCGAATAATACATTGAACTTCATGTTGAAAGTTCCCTAGAAATGTTTATAGTGCTTTCTTCTTCACGAACACTATGTAACTCTTATTGTCGCTTTTTCATTAAGTTTTTCTATCTTCGCTGGTCTATGCGTATTGGAATAGACTAGTGGAATTATTCATCATCTTTTCTCCAAATAATCAATCACCACTACTCATCTTTTATTCCTCAAACGATCATTTCTCACAATTGCCCTCTATGCCACACACAATCTGTGATACTTGATAGTTCACTCATTATTTATCTAGTTGAGAGTGACGAGCAAAGATGAATATTATATCGACACATTTACCCTCATAACCTCATCATAGAACCAATAGTGTAGAACTTGTTAATATTTTATGAGCTTTAAACTTATTTTCGAGTTTTCAACTATGCGCTTGCTCGAAATGATATATTGTCACTTAGATAATCGGTATAATGCAAAACATACATACACATGACATCCGAAATCTGGTCGATATATGAGATTGACCGATTAATTTTGTTCTTTTTCCCGAAACACCCACATCTGATGACATGTCTTCTGTGTATACCTTTTCGTCGTGTGCTCATGCTGCATGGCATCCACACCTGCTACTAGCCAGTCAAAAAGGTGACTAGAAGTCCATGAATTCGCAGTCCACGATTTACCAGTCAGTCATGTGCCTAGTCAAAATCTACGTATCTCAATTTCTGAGTATTTTAAAAAGGACTTCGGCGCATTCTACAAAGGCTCTCTATGGGTTTTCAGTATGTTCTTAACCTCACCATGAAAAGTCTCGAACGAGTCTCTCGTCATTCTCCCCATCACCTCTAGTAGTTTATGTGGGTTCTTAGTTGATTTTTACAGAATGCGTTATTGATATACAAGTGATTCTCACTTAATGTCCACGGATTGATGGGAGATCTCTAGAAAATTCTCATTGAATCTCCCGAGAATCCTTAGAGATCGTTAGGAACCTCCAGAGAATCTATAGGGAACTCATATATGTCTCCATGAACTGTTCGGGAGACATTCAATGGTCATTGCAAGATTCACAAAGAATGCTTTGAGGAACTTCTGGCAATTGTTTGATGAATCCCTAGAGATTCTATAGAGAGCCCGTGAGGATCCTGATTAATAAAGCCTATAGATTTCCTCACACTCATCTGAAGAACTCCTAAGGATCACATGGGATCCAGCCATCATTTTCGGCAGATCTATTCAGGATCCTCTGGAGATCCTCTCAGGATCTGCAGTAGATTTTTCCAGAACCGTCTGGAGATATGTTCTGTCGTAGTTGAAAACTCTAAGAAGATGTTTAAAACTCGTAACATTTCTTTCAGTTTTTACATGTATGTGAGAGTGAATGTAAGAGTTTGGATGAAAGTTTAGCAAATTTTTTTATATTTGTTTGAACATCTACGTTCAATATGATCTTATATTTAAGTCATAAAAACACTCATTTTGTGGATATTATTTTCACACAAAAAATTGGAAACTCATCAAATTAGAGTTTTTCATATCAGATTAGTTATTGCATTAATCTTTCGTTTGAGAAAAATATTTTTAGCTAGAGACAACTCTATCAGTAAAATCATTCACAATTCAATTTATCCGTAGAAAAGAATCAGAATGATATTTTTCAAATCGAATTGAAGTCGGCACATCATTTTAAAATTTTATTAACAAAAATCAATATCTATACTTCACGATCACTTTTTTGCAAATGTTTCTGCAAATAATTTATGCTGATGCAAAATTCAAATTCAAGTTAATAAATCAAAAGAAATTAAGGATATCGAAGGATGACATTATATTAATTAACATGGCAGAATCCAACGTAGTAAGCTGATCGGTTTATAATTGAAAATCTAGAGATCAATACTCTCTGTGTTTATTTATCTTCTGCTCTCTTTAGAAAATCTTACAAAGAGCCCGTCAAAAACTCAGATAAAATTCTTATGGAATCATTGAAAAATCCAGCAGTGTGTAATCAGAAAACAAGTTTTTTGAATTAGAAGTCATAGAAATTCTGACAAGATCCCGGTCTATAGCAACGGAAAAGACATTAGGAGTCTTCTAACATCGTGTTTTAGCCCTAAAGAAATCTTTAGTATTTCGTGGCTACGCGTTTCTCTCAGGATTTACAATGTTTCGAAACAATTACTGGCTTCGCATAAATTAGTAAAGTGCTCAGAATCCTGATGAAATCCTGTTTTGAATCCAGGAAAGATCTTTAAAATCCATAACTACACATCTTTTTGTGGATTTAACAGTTTCTTGCAGGATTTCGGATTGAAAAATAGTGTTAAAGTGTTCATGATTTTGATTGAATGCTGATTCAAATCCTGTCACAGTTTTTTCAGTATTTCGGCGTTTCTTCAGAAAAACAGGCGAATCAGTGCACGATCTTTGTTGGATACGTAAAAGATCGAGTCTGAAAGCATCAAAGATTTTTTCTAGAGTAGCTTCAAGACTTTTCCACTTGAACAACACCATGAAGAGCCTTGACAAGACGTTCGAAGCATAGAGTCGATAAATTCTATCTACTGATGCTGAATACTTTACATTTAGCATCAAACTTGATGAGCATGGACTTACACAAATCGATAAATTTTTGAAGATAATAACAAGCGATCGCAGTTAGATAGTTACGTGCCTGCCAGTCTTTTCTACTTGTCATCGATAAGGAAAACATATTTAAAAAACAATGACGTTGACAGTTTCATAGAATAGAAAGCTCTCTGTCGAATGAGTCTAAAATGAAGTCTGCAATATCTTGGAGAATTCGCTAAAAAGATTAAAGCAAAAGGCTATAGATATAGGTGTAATGTAGATTGGGTGAAATGAATAGCTGCATACTTTCGTCCACACCTCATTCTTCGTTCACATATATAGACGATATTTTTTTTGTTGCATGATCATTTACAGCCAATGATATATAAGAGAGAATTAAGGTGCACAGAACTCTTTTTAAAAGATTTTCTCTAAACTCAATCATACTTAAATATCTTAGCATATTGTGCATGATTTTACCACATGTATGTTAGTAGAATGGATGGATAACAGCCTGAACAAATGATGATGCTGGTACGTAACCATTTGGAGTAGCGTCAAGTTAAAGTCATGCTGTATTGAAATAGGTATTTTGTATTGAAAAGTTATAGAATTGTTGCATGTAATTAAACAACTATTGAGCTTCTTGTACTGAAGGATATCCTGATCGAGTAGTAGAATAGCTGTTAAGAGTATATGACACACATTGAACTGGATTAACAACACATTGTAACATCAGATAGACTATAAGAAACTCATCGAACGTCAAAACGCCATTAATATCAGGATGAAAAATAAGAAATATACAATTAACGTCACCATTAAAAAGCCCATGTCAAACTACAGATAATTGCATAGATATTTTTAAACAGATTAGTTATCATTCGACCACCAGTTGAAGCTGCTTGTTGATTATAAGCATATTGAAGTTGTTGAATCTGAGCTAGAGAAAATTCGGTCATTTTAGAATAAGAATTTATATGGTAAACATTCTACGACGAAAATCTTTTTTGATTACTCATATTTCGAAAATTGACTGCAATTGAAGTATAAGATAGATATGTCTATGAATGAGAAGATCAACATAAAACTAACAATCAGTATAATTAGCTCTTTTTATAATGTGTATTGTTTTGCGTGATTGATGTTGCATTGACATCACGATAATATCAAGCATCTCTTTTTGTAGAAACTGAAAAGATAACTATAATGATGAATGATTCGAAATAGCACATATTTATTATCTCAATGGCTTTTTTATTGGTCTTAATTTAAAAAAAAGAAAAGTTTCACTTCAATTAAAGGAACAAAATACTAACTAGAATAAAAATGATTAATTTATTTTTCAAATAACAACACAAGAAAATAATCATTCAATTTTTTCTTGTGCTTGTTCTTGTTCACTAGTTGTATGATCATTCTTGTTAGCATTAGTTTCATCATCAGGTTGTAATAAAATTTTGCCAATATTTTGTCGATTATGCATACGTTGCATAGCTTCACCAACTTTTGACAATGGATAAATAGTATCTATTTTTGGTTTGATTGCACCTTCATTATANTTCTTAACTTACACCAAAAGCTTGTCGATCCCAAAGAATAAGCCATCCTATATTTAAACCCATATTTATTATATAACATATAAATATACTAAAATGAAGTGTATTTGGTACAATATATAAATAGTCATCATTGGATTTTCGAAATATTCGACTTAAAGCATAGATTAACCATGCTGCTTGCCAAAAATAAATTACACCCCATACACTAAATGTCCAACCTTAATTAGACGAAAATATTTTTTTGTCTTTTTTGCTTTATTATATTTGTTAAATTTACCCGCAGGTGTAAATTCAGTTAGATTTGAATCACTTATACTTCCTGTTCGTTGAGTAAATATGCCTAAAGAAAAAGAAAAAACAATAAAAAGATTATTTTTTTTTTGATGAAAACTTTTAGAATCGAAATATAAAACACAATTGAAAATCGATTCCCAAACATTTCTCAAGCGTAATCCTTCTTTCGAGGATTATTTAAGCCAAAAACAAAGGAAAATTTTCCAAGGTTCAGATCATCTCTGTCTCTATTTCTAAACGTTTCTTCTATGAATTCAAATTCTTTTTTTTTTTCTTCCAATTTGTGCTTAAAAGAAAAAGGTCAAAGCTAAAGAAAAACCTTCATACTATTAGGACCAGCACTTGCTAAACCATTAAAAACACAAGTGAGGATAAAAGCAGCAATAGCGAATACAATAAGTAATATATGCCACCAACGATGTTGAAAATTGACTTTTCTCTCTGTTTCATCCATAACAAGATTGTCTTTGATCAAGGTATTATCTAATGAATTTAATTTTGAATTTAAAAAGAAAGCCTAAATCAAAATTTACCTTTATTTGCTGAAGAAACTCTCGACATTGTGCTTATATGTTTGGTTAACTATTTATCCTTGATTCTACTCACTTTACTTCGTGTATATATAGGTATATGTTATGGGATGTATTATATAACTCGTGTTATCAAGGTTATATAACATAAAGGTTGTAAGTTCTTTTTTCTTCTTGACAATTATCATAGGTGATTACATAAACCTGCTCCACAAAGCGCGAAAATATGTCTTCAAAGGACGAACAGAAAGAAAAGAAAAAGAAATGAGGGCGACAAATGTATACTTAATATTAAACACATCTTGTAAGAGGAAAAGGGCAGGCAACGGCTGTCTGCTTAAAAATGTTTGACAAATGTAAAATGAAAAAAATATAATAAAACAGATTAGTTTTACTATAATACAAATGTTTCGACATTTATTTAATAAGAAAATCTATGAACAAAAAAATCGTTTTGATAAATATCATCGGTCATTACATAATGTGAATCGATTTTTAACTATACGACATTGTCTTTGTGTTTTATTTCTCATATTTTTATTTTCTATATTGAAAATTTCGAGTGAGCATTCTTTTGTTTTTTCCTTTATTTGAATAAAAAAAAAAACGACTAAAATAATTTCCTTTTATTCTATACTAATATTAAATAGGTAATCGAATTAAATTTGGAAAATATAATTATGTGTTTGATAGAGAAACAATACTCGAAATACGTTCTTCACATTTTTATAATATTACAGTTGCTCAGTCAGATTTAATACGAATGTTACGATTTGATATGTCATCTATTCAAGGTGTCATTCACCTTAAAAAACCATTTATTATTCTATTGGATTATATGCGTTTACAATTACTTTGTCTTTTATGGAAGACCGAACCAGAACGTATACTTATTATTGGTCTTGGTGCTGGTATATTGCCAAAAATGTTTCATTATCTTTCACCAAATACATTGATTGATGTTGTAGAAATTGATATAGAAATAATGAATTTAGCACAAAAATATTTTGATTTTAATCAAAATGATCGTATTCGAGTTTATATTGAAGATGGTCGACATTTCATAGAACGTCAACCATCAAATCAATATGATGTAATTATAATTGATGCATTTACAGTTAAGAATCATGTTCCACATAGATTACATACAATTGAATGTGTTTCAGAATATTTACGTATTTTAAAATCGACTGGTCTTGTTATAGGAAATTTTTTTTATGAACAAGAAAGTCGATATAGACAAACATATGAACGTGCATTTTTCAAACAAATTTATCAAGGAGTAATTAAAAATAATTATATTCTTATTGGACTTAATAAACAAACAAAAGTTTTCAATCAGAATGAATTACAATTAAGAGCAAGAGATCTTCAACAAAATAAATCATTATTTGATATGAATTGGATTCATGAAACGAAACATATTCACAATGAAAATAATGATAAATGGAATAGATCAACAAGAATTTTTACAGATAAAATTTATGAAAATTCTTTAGATTTATTAGAATAAAAATTAAATTTCAATTATTAATAGTAAATAGAATTATATATAAAATAATTCTCTATATTAACATGTTCTCTCATGATTTTTATTATATGACATTAGCACTAAAAACTTCTGTATAGGGTGAGCCAAAAGTTAGGAAACACAGAATTGTTTTAATTTCTTCTTTGTATATGGTCAGCTAGACCTTATATTTATAGCATATATACTAGATGATGCTAGCAAAAGATGTAGCATATGGTTAATGTTTGGATGTAATAATTTGTTTAAAAGCGTATACATAGAGAATAAATTGTACTGCTAATTAAATCAGATTCATTTCACAAATCAAGATAAAGCAGACAAAACTCTGGAAACCGAATAGAGCTCGAATACCATCGAATTTCTCATAGAGTCACAGACAAGCAGTCAGTTTTACCTGCATTCTTATAAACAAATTATTGGATTCAAAGACGGAGCATATGATACGTCTTTTACTAGTATCACCTAGTATATGCGGTGTAAATAAGAGACCTAACTGACCATGTGCAAACTAGAAATCGAAGAAATTCACTTTTTCTTTACTTTTGAGACATCCTATATTTATGTATATAGACGAGACAAACAAAAACAATCAACAATTAAGACTTTTTAAAGGCTTTAAAGTACCATGGCTTCGCCAACAAAATGAATTTCCTTATCACTTTGCATTTAACTCACTTATTATGTGCTATTGATATTTCTATCAAAAATATTTCGAAATCTTGAAAATCAACTTCATCCATGTATAACTATATGTTGCTTTTTAGTATAACCTCTGGAAATGATGCATCGAAGGTTTTCCACAGACTTATTAAGTTTAATACCTGATTGACTTTCAGTGTTACAATTTTTACATGGATGTATGGATTAGAGATTTTTATAGGGCAGGGTGCAGAACAGAACAGAATCATGTCTTGACACTCTACAAATTTGAAAATCAAATTTTTATCTTTAAAAGAGTGTCTTTTTAGTGTTCGAAAATCGAAAATAGACTGTAGAAGGTCATACTAACTGATATTCAAAGTTTTCATCTATAGATGTAAATTTGAATGAATATGGTAGAAAAAATAAATAAATGAAATGAAAATCGAAAAAATAATATTCGTATTTCTTATTCTCGGTGTTTTACTACATTGACGCAAAAGACTAATTTATGAGTTCTATATCATTTGGTTGTAATAATGACACTTATTGATTGTCTAGTGCTGATCTAAATGATGCATAAAATATATCTTTACCTTGTCTTGTTTACATGTCGACCCGATCTTCAAATTCTTAAACTCTTGAGCTATTAATGCAATTCTTATTGGAAAAAGATCAAAAATTTCATCTTGAAAATAGTGATTTAACAAATGAATCGGCACCTTTGAAGGCGTACTTTTCAAATATATAAACATTATTGCTTTTAAATTCCATTGAAAGATACGATCAAGACAGTCTATCGGTTTTGCAATGTATGAAAATATTACCCTGTGAACATACCTGGCATACATCGAAGCATCATCTATGTGATAATGAAAACTGCACCTCGATACCATTTCGTGCTCACGATTTATTCAAAAAATCAAGAAATTTGGAATAAGTGTGCGTTATTCAAGACAATAATTAGTAATGAATTGTGTTGATAAAGTTTACAATGAAAAGTTCAATTGATCGGCTGTAAAGCACAACATATCAAAGAAAGAAAAAGGTTAAGAACTTAAGAGGATCTCATATTTATTTCATCATTAATGATATCAAATCAAATACAATGGATAATCATTCTTAGTAATTAAGTTTGAAGATAAGAAAAAATCTGAAGTACTAAAAATTAGAGATGTATCAAATGATAAAGTGGTTTCAAATGAAGTCAGAATAAATTGAAGTCTCTTGAAAGCGAGTACTTTGCACGATTCCAAAGGCACTTATGGTTAAAACGTTTCTTTCTATAGAAATTCTCATGCGGAAAATAATTAGTACTCATTCTAAAGAAAAAGATGTATCGAAATTCTTAACTGAATCATAGCTTGCAGTTTAATAGATGAACATTTTCGCTGCATTTTGACAGATGAAGACGAATAGAACAAGTTTAGTTTGGACTATGTCTAATTAAAAATTCATGGAAAATTTTTACTTGTGAATAATAATACGTAATTTCAATTTACTAATCATTTTAGAGATGGTTTTCCAACCCTTTTACTACTTCGTGCAGAAACTTTAAATCGACTATAATCATTCTTTATGGAAAACAAATCGATTTCTGTCCAAATTTCATGATAAAAACATTTGTTAATATAAGAGGAGAAAAATGAAGCTTGATGAAACTTTTCACGAATAAAGATCTATCTTCTGTCAGGTACAAGCCTGTAGATCATCCGGAAATGTAGAAGGGTCGTGCTGTAATTTATGCATTAAGTTACATAATTATGACAAAAAAAACTACAAAAGTTATCATAGCGCAGAGAAATACGACGAGTCATAAAGGTAAAGGGTGCAAGTACATTGGATGTCTTCTAAAAAGTGTACAAAAAAAAATTCTTTATCACTTAGAACATTTTACTTTCAACACCGCAAGTCTACAATTTATCAAAACATATTGCATTAGAGATTTTTTTATTGTTTCGCAAAAAAAATGTAGAAATTAAAAGCGCATATAAGTTGCTCGGCTAAATATACTTCTTTTTTTAGTTGAAAATGACTTGATTTGTCTATCTTTGAATAACATATTCCTATTTACTGTGTATTATTCATTTAGTTCTAAGTATTTAAACAAAACAATTCATGCCTCTTCTATTATCACATATGAACTTATCAACATGATAGATAAGATTAGGATCAAAACGTTTTGGGGGTCACTCGTTACAGACGTCCAAGTGAAAGAGGATGAGAAGAAGTCGAACATATCAGGAGGTCTAAGCACTTACTATGAATATTTTCATTTATATTACGCAAGTTTTTGTGGAATTTTGAAGCTTATCACATTTTGACAGAGCAATGCTTATATTACTGCTCCGGAAAATCACTAGCTTATTCATGTAGCATAGTCTTCAATTATTTCTGCT